CATCAAACTTAGCTATTTGAATCTGAGGAAGTTTTAAACCGATTTCTTGATCTGAACAGTAAGAATTGTCAAGAATCGAGATCCGTCTCTGCTCGCCTTCTGTTTTCTTTATAAATTTATCTAATAATGTTTTAGCAGTAGCGATATTAATAATAATATCGCGTTCGATATTGTCGCGCTCATCAATTTCGGTAGAAATGTTTTCAAAATTTAGAACCTCTATTTCATTTTGCAAGTCATCCACCCGAACCGACAATGCCTCGAACTTTGCAAGTTTAAGACTTAATTCCGTTAATTGAATACTATTTAATTCAATCATATTTGCTATACCATTTAAATAATTTTTGAATTTAGTAATTTGACCCTTGGCCGAAGATCGTTTCGTAATAAGGTCCTTTAAGCGACCTTTATCTATATTATCGTTAGGCATTGTGAGTTAAAAGTGACAGAGAAAAGAATTAAATTCAAAAGTAATAATTATTATTACTTTTGAATAATAATAATAAATAAATAAAGGCTCACGCTCCTCGCCTCGATGACACCCGCCGACAGCACGCCAACCAGCTCTGGTCGCAGCACAACGCTGCCGCTGCTCAAAGCTGTGCCGCGAAGCAACGATAATATCTGGAAATATCGGCGAAATGGTCTAAGCACACGGCAAAATAAATTTAAATTTAAACACAGGGAATATAAAATATAAAATATTTTATTGCTACTTTTTACGATTTTTTTTTTATTAACAAGATATATCTAATTTTAAATTGTTTTATAATTAATCAAAAATAAGTTTTAAAACAATTGATACCTTTATTAATACGTCAATTGTATAAAAGAAGCAATAATGCTTAACAATTTCACTTATAATTTTAAAGCCGGTAGATAGAAATTAAATGATGATGCAATATTTCTCTTTGTTTAAAACTTTAAATATAATCGAGCAACAATAAAAACTAGATTCAATAATCTTGTTTTGCACAAATGAATTGGAGATTCTTAACAATCGGATGAATATTTAGGATAGAATAAGGAATTGAGTATTAGGAGTATTACAGGAGTATTAGGGAAAGTCACTTATCTTTTGCCGATATTGAGCAAACGATGTGATATTTTAGATATATCACTGCCCGCTTGCCAGGTATAGTTGTTCTCTCCCGGCAGCTCCTTCTACGAATCTTCTTCTAGCACGTGGTCCACTAAACGCTTGCCGTTTTGAAATATTTAGCAATTTTTTCCTCTTCTATCAATGTATTTTATATTTAACGTTTAGATATTCCCCTCATGGGCCACCATTTATGTATATTTCTTATACACTGGTGCCAAATTAAACGATTAATATGTACTTTATAAATTGGTTTAATATAAGAGGTGTGTACAGCGTTGCGATCGGAGAGCGAATAGACAGTGACAATTGATAATTAATAAAGATCATCCTTTTAACAAGAAATATTATACGACGTTAGTTTACTAATAGTGTTGCCATTATAAAAGATAAAGAGCAAACAGAAAGGTAAAATTAATAAATTATACAAAATTAATTATGTAGGCGTTATGCGCCGCAACAACCTGACTTTTGAATACTCATTAAAATCCCTAGCGAGCTCTTTCAGCACTAACTGCATCATTCAACGTAATGTGAAACAAGCATATCTTAGTGTCTCGAGCTATGAAAACATATTATGAAACTGAAAACGATAAATTGCCCGTCTAGACTGTACTCCATCAATATTTTATGAAATGATTTTAGGAAACGTAAACTAACGTTATTTTAAAACAGCATATTTGCGACACAATTTTTTATTTTAAACAGAGAAAGACTTTTTGGATAAGTGGTTAAGTGCATGTGTTATATGTTTATTATTTTTATAGTTTATCATGTTTAATGTTTGAAGAAGATATTATTATATAAGATACATATACATATAGGTAGAGTTAAATTTCCGCCTCAATAAATAATAAGATGCATGATTACTGTTTTATTTCAAAAATATGAAGAAATAATGTTGTTGTGTTATGATTTAGAATTATTCTGTTTCAACCCGCAAATATATTACAGTATAAAGTAAATATAAAAAATAAAAATATGATTCAGAGTAGTCTCACTCAGTACACTACAGACGTTTTAAAACTAGAGTCTTTGTCAATAAGAAGAAAGCTATGTATTATATTATATGTACATTGGTCAATATTTAGGGGCGCAACAACTTTTAACAAACACTGGGACTATAAAGGTCGTACAGTGATTTCTAGAGGTGAATAAAATAAAATAATTTTTAAGTAAAAAAAACCGACTACAAAAAACAAAACACAGGAACTAAAAAGAAAATTTTATTCGACACTCAAATATTATTTCCTAACCTATCCTATGTTCTAGTAAGTTATAAAAATCTGTACAAAAATCGAATAAAATGTTTTATTTCCAATAATCTCATTTAACACTTTACTAAATATAAACAATTTCTTAGTATCTAATCATCTTTTCAAGTCGGAGCCTTAGGTTTATAGTTGATAGATGGGTTATATATCTTAGTAAACATAATAATTGTAGGTTAATATCACTATCGTTGGCTAGTTATTATCTCTGCCTGTATTAAGAGACGCGTTAACTTAGCTATTTGTTTAATATCTGACTGCAATCACTATCATTACTGTTTCATACTACGTTTCTCTATTACGATATCATTATTTATGTAAGGAATATTCGATCGAATCTCTTGTGGTCTACTTATATTAAAAATATATGAAACTAGCTGACCCGGCAGACTTCGTACTGCCTCAATCAAGAAATAAATTATGTCTTATTTAGTTTTTTGGTGTTTAGATTTAAGACATAAATCTCCGTGTTCTCAAGAACGACAAAATGATTGAGATATTAGTTAGTTGTCAAAAAACCGTTTGTATGGGAAATAAAAAAGCGCTATTTTTAGTGTTTTCCCGGAAATTAATAAAAAATTTTCAGCTTTTAAACCTTCCCTGAACCTCCACAAACATTTCAAGACTATGATCAGATAAATCCGTTAAGCCGTTCTCGAGTTTCAGCGAGACCAAGGAACAGCAATCCATTTTTAATTATATAGATTAAGTTTTAGTTTCATACATATTACTTGTGACTTATTGAATATATCGAGTTATATGAATATAAGTGTAGGTTAATTAAAGTTTATATTACTTTATGATATTGCTAATTTAGTAACTGCATATTTAATATTATATACTAGAGTTAAGTTACTTGAGCTGTAAATGACAGCGACTTCGAAAGGTGAATTTAAGCATAAAATTATGTTTTGCTTTTTGTTCTTATGATGTTGTGCAAGCATAAATATGCTTATGAGAAGAATTGCTTACCCTTATTTTTTTCTCGTCGATTTTATTTCATCGCCATAATTTATTTAAGAAGTTCTTAATATACAAACTTGACTTTGTGACCCTACAATCACCTGGGGGATGCAACCTCATAGATGAAAAAATAATTTCTTAAATCGGTTCCGTAGTATTGCAGAAATGGAAGAACAAACATAAAAGAAAATTACCATGAATTGTTAAGCCCTCTCGTCTTGAATTCGGTTGAAAGAAATCGAAGTAAATTATATTATTTTCATATTTTTTTTTAATCAATTTTCCCTATTGTATAGATCGAGTGTTAATATATATTACGAGAGCAATACATACACATGTTTAAGCCAGGTATCAAAACATAAATAAGTATTTGTCTTATCCTTTATGAAATTTACAATTCTTTAAACTTTTTTCTTTTGACATCCTTTTAGAAAGGTTTTGCAAATATTTGCTGCTTTTAATGTAAAAAACTAAACGTCGAACTACACTGGTAGTTTCGTGGAAGAAGTAAATAATGATAACTTGGAAGATAGAATGAATACATGCATGGACAGAGATACGATAAGAAAAAAAAGATAATACACACGTAGCTCAAAACAAGTTTGTAAAAATAATACTATCTTATTATTTGGGAATACGAATACGAGCAAACTAAATCCATTTATTTATTTATACATTTAAAACATATTTCATTTTAATTTCTCTTTAAGTTACAATCCTCTCTGTGACGTAATTGCTTAAGGGTATTTAGTTAACAGGCGTAAATATTGAACCTTACAATAATTTTCGATTTAATAACGAGCACTTCTTATTGATCGATCACAAGCCGGGAATCAAAGCTGTGCTCAATTATTTTCGGTTACTAATCAATCAATGTTTGTCAGTTTAGTTTGGTGGTTCCAGAATAATTAAAAAACTATATCAATTATTTTATTGTGAGTATATTTAGTTTTGTTTCATTAACTTTTTTATCGACTAAAGAATCTTTTTATCTTTTTTTTTCAATCTACTTTAACTGTGTTATATGTTCACTGCTAACATTTTTTTCAATGATAATATCTGTACGGTATATAACATCTTTTCCGTATTCAACTTTTCTAGTAACCCTTGGGAGCTTTGTTACAACTCAGGTTGTTTCCTATTTCAGTTTGGAATACAAAAAAGGGGAATATGTGAATAAAATACATCAGATGCGGATTGATTAAAAAAAACTTGTTTATGTGGTTAATGAATTGTTCAATTTACTTAATTTCTATACAGAGTTCTGACACAGTAATTATATAGGATAAGAACAATAGTTCGAATAACTAAGCAGAATTTATAAAATGACAAAACAAATCGACCGACTTGTCTTGTAACTGTTCTTAAATGCTTTATCTGATATACATTTTTTGCAAATATTTTACTTTTCTCTGGAAACATGTTTTAAAATTTCACAACATATTATTATATATTTATATATAATATACAATATGGTTATTTAGATTTATTGATTGTTATTATTGTTTTAAAATATTTGATCGGTCTTATAGCCTTTTCGCGTTTCAATATATTTTATTTCATGGTGATTGAGCTTGTGGTAGGAAAAGGAACTCCTAATTCCAAAGCAGCGATGGCATGACGAACCATCGCTATATGCCTCTGGAACGACCAAGAGTCAGTTTTACATGACAGAAAGTGGAAAAGATACGAGTATTCTCCTCTCGAGAAGGATGGATGTAGTGGTCACCCTCATGCTAGGCTTGATAACGTACTGCCAAATGAGTTTAGTACAAGAAAATCAATCTATCGCTTCTCTCGAAGTCGGCCTTGAAGTTTATCTCAGCACCAGCACATTTATAAAGATCAGACACGAGTTACAGAACTTTAGACTGTCAGAAAAATACTCATTAGTTATATTTTTCAATAATATATTTCAATATTTTGAACGGAAGTTTGAAAAGTATCGCAGTTCAGATATTAAAGACGAAATATGCGAGAGGAGGAAAAGCCGAGCTCATGAATAATAAACAATAATATTTTAGCAGTAAAGGTATCGCTCGTAAAAGATTTATAACGGTCTTTCCTGAGATAAAACCATCGAGGATATTGCTCGTTAATTTAATGATTAATTGAAATGTTTCACCTTTCACAAATTTGCTCCTATTAGTATTAAACACTCTTTTTATTACCATTAATATTGAACGATGACGACTACATGATTTATATGTATGTAGAATTAATATGTGTACGTTACTTTGTTTAAAATATGTTCGATTACGTATGACTTTTTAACTAAATAAGGTTCATATGAAGTTTAAGATGAATGTTTACATAGCAGATTCAAAAACTGTTTATTACTTTATTTTACTTTCTATTCGACTTATTTACATAAAAAAAATAAGAATTAAGTTTTAGTTACATAATAATATTAAAGTATACAACGATCGTGAAAGTCTCTTCATATAGGTATTTCTCGGGGTTTAAATTTGTTTAAGGAACAAAAGTACATTCCAAAACGCCTTCTGCAAACAAGACCTTAAAGTTGGGATGATATTTGCATGAGACGACACTTCCAAGCTTCAGATTAAAGTTCCTGTACATTATATAGTAATAAAGGTTTCCATACAAGTTATATACGTATGTTTATGTATGATCGAACAGACTTCACACTACAATGTATGATTACTCCTAGAAATTTATTACTTCAGATTGTTGAATATATGTAGTTTTTGTAGATTTTGCATATAAAATAGAAGAAACAGTTTTTCTATTTTTTTTATTACTTTAAATTAATATTTAATGAGGTCTGAGCGTACCATAGAACGATAGTTTATTCAGTAAAGCATTGGGAATACCGTATTTATGGATTATCCTGCTCGAGTCGATGATTTTTTTTATCTTTATTTTCGATCTGACTTTTAATATAAAAAGACACAGTAAGAAAAACAAAACTAAAACGAACATTTCTTGGCTGTAAAAAGGTTTAAGAGATTTATATTCAGTAAAAAACTAGCTCATTACCGAGCAAAAGCAAAAACAGTATGTGCATCTTATTTTTGACGGATTAAAAAGCTTGAAAAAAGGAAGCTCTTAAAGTCCTTAAAGAATTGAAAGTATTAAAGAGTGCAAGGTTTTATTTCACCCTTTTACTTCGATATCAAAACTACCATTTAATTCTTCTTATAATACTGAACGTTTGAATACAATTCAAAGGTGGTGGTGCGTTGCTGTGGTTATGTTATTGTAGCTCGAACATGGGCTTGCTCGATCATTGTAGTATCACCATCACACAGAAGATAGCGTGAAGTATTCTTAAATCGCTTCGTTTCGTCCGCTGAATGAAAGTGTCAATTTTCCGTTGCCTTTTTCCACCTCAGTCAGGTCAAAAAAACAATTTGATACCTACCAGTAAATTCACATAATATTCCAAAATTTTCGAAGATTGGACAGTTCTCAATTAAAAAGTTTAATAATATAACATCATATCAAAAATATTAAATAATTTTAAAATTTTACTAACTGGGAAGTTAAATTGAAAACTCATACATAAAATTTGTCAATACGTACCCATATACATATATACCTTATTTTTTTAAAGAAATAAACATTTTTATGCTATTTTTCCGTTGAAACCTTCGCTTATGGTATAACTGAATTTACTTTAAACTATTTTTAGTGACTTCGACCAGTCTACCATCATAGAAATTTTTGGCCAACAGATGTTAATTTATTTTTTTAAAGTAAAGAGTGCAAGATCTGTGTGAAGCCTAAAATAATGTTTTAACATGAGATCTATAAATGTCTTGGAAGAGTTCAATTCAAAATAAAACGAGAATTCTATAGACTACAAAACCGGCGCACTTTTATAAGCTTTATACTTTCATCGATACTGGTAACTGAAAGGAAAACCTTTTGATAATACTTGCAACTTATTGAAAATATTTCTTTATACTGCTATCTTATAAAATATTTTAACTTCTTTCATATGATGAATAGTTGATATTTAATATAAGATATTCAATCACTGTGTTGATTTTTGGTTATTTAAGGAACTAATATTATAAAAAAACGTGTCAGTTTCGGAATGAAGGTTAGCAGGGAAGAAGATAGAGGCTTGTCACTTAATAGAATAAAAACTGTTCCTGCACCTTTCGTAAATTAATTATTGTATTCCTTTTATTATATCAGTGCTGTTTTGAAAATAACTTTCGTGACATTTTATCATGATACTAGTATTTAGTACATAATAACATTCTGGAGCAAATTTAAATTAAAAAAATAAGCCAATAGTAGGTATTGCTCTTTGAAGTAGGTTCGATTACTTAGAGATGTAATAGTAGAGACCACTACGGGAATAAGAAGGATATAGAATAAATAATCAAAGTTGTTCATGAATTAAGGAGACTTCAGACCCATTTATAAGATATTTCAAATCTGTTCTTCTCTTTGTCCCATTTCTCTCCCTTACCCTTTTGTGTATAAACACATTGTTGCTGGTCATTAATCACAGCGTTTCATTTGAAAATCGCATGATTAACACCTGTCTTGTGGTGTCTTATATTGTGTTAGGGGATTTTTTTATTATTATTTATTTTTAGTATTTTACTAATAGGTTTTTTATTTGTGGTTAAAGATACTTTATTTTCTCAAAAATATTTATTTTATTTAATTTATACATACATATAAACATCGTACTATAAGAATATTTATTAATTTTATGTCCTTCCTTTGTTGAAAGTGTATGAAACGTTATAACTATTAACATGTCATAATAAGCTTTGTTTAATACAGGTTTTACAGTTTATAATATTTAAGTGTCGTTGAATTTAATTGTATGGTAATATTTTATAAGTACATTAAAATTCATAAATTATCTGAAAGTATTCAGTGTTATCGCATGAAAATAAAGTATTTTTGTTGACTTTAATCTTTATCACAGTTCTTTGTTACATTGTATGTATATAAGAATAAATAAATATCCCATTTCACGTATGAAAGTATTTATACGATCTCTACATAAACAATGTAAATATTTAAATTTTTGTCTGTCCGTTTGCTCCGGCTAATCTCTAAAAAGTCTGGACCAATTTTGGAAACGATAATTATATCTTAGAGTTCCGGGTTTTTGTTATTTTAAATCTACATAATCCCGACATTTCTGTTCCTTTGCAGCAACCGAGCTCACGGGCACATCAGATAAAAATGACTGTTCATTTCTTAATTTCCTAGCTTATCGCTTTGGTTGCACGTTATATGCGCTTACTGTATCTTTAGGTTTTGTGGTGTGATCACTGACATGGAATTTTATATTTTTGATATGGGGTTCCCAGGTGTTAGAAAAGTTCCAGCCACCTTTTCTATTGAAATTAGGATGTTTTTTTCATTACAATAGCCTCCCGGAATAATCTCGGTACATACCTACCTGTCTTCAAATGCGGAGACCTGTGGTTTATCAAACCGAATGGCCTGGGTTGTCCCTTTGTTTAAACCCACTTGTTGTTAAGGAATGGTACTCTTAATTTGTCACAAGAATTGATTTACTTTCTTATGTGGTTTGTAAATAGTCTTTATGAAAACCTTATTCGAGATGTTGCCTGTTCTGTCAGCAATGTCCTTCACAAATCATGGTAATATTTGACGAGCATTTCACTTGAATTCGAATATAGTATGTAACTAATTAAATATAAATATAGTTGTAACTTTCAAATGTATATATGTATTTCTAAAGTAATTTTTGTAATACTCAAAAGGACAATATCTTGAGGTAGTTTCGTCGTGAAGAATTGACATAAGGATGATAAACTGTGTCTCACAGGGGATTTAATATGTGGGCCGTGATCAAGAGCTTATATCTAATAAGATAGTTATAATAACCGTAAGAATGTGACTACTACTAGTGACTACTTATTTCTAATGATGTACTTAGAATGTTAATGTTATATAATAATATTTTTTGTAAGTAATAATGTGATATTATGTGATATGTTTATAGAATGATGTATTAAGGACCGAGACATCGATTTATAAATTCAGATTAAGTTCATCAAAATACAACTTTGTGATCAGTTAATTTATTTTTAAATTTAAGTTTGAAGTCATTTTTTATTGAAAATTATTTTATTTTACTATTTTAATGTATATTTATAGCTAGTAAGGATGTTTCTGAAATGAAGAGTCGACGGTTAAAAGAAATTAAAGACTATTACAAAAATATAAAATAACCACAAATAGTAAACTTACAACTGTAGATTTCTCTTATTTGTAAATAATAATATTATCAATCAGTCATCAAACAAAGCCACTTCTGTCTATATATTTTTACTCATAAGTGAAAATGTTGAAAAATCCTAATGCACAAAATCATAATTGAGAAAGCTGTAAAAATATTTTAAGCCTTTAAATTATTCTCATAGTAAAAAAATATTAATACCTAAAATACTTTAAAAAATAACTTGAAGACATAATTACATATACAGAAGTGTATTACGATCAAAGTTAAGTTGTGACTTTTGTAGTACATAAAAAAATAATTAACAAATCAAATATTAATACATTTTTTGGCAAAATAAAAAACTGAGCTTCGAAACAACTATTTTATTCGTTTTAATTAACTTTTATTTTAATAAAAATGTGTCTACTTCTTATATTAGTTTGAAGTGTAGCGAAATAATAATTATAAAAGTCTTAATTATTAGATTGAATCTTAAATAATCAAACTAAATGAATAAAGGAGAAATAACAATATAGAAAGAATTTGAATCGTCCAATAAATCACCAATAGCGTTGTTTCACGAACAGCATCTATCTGAATCAACTTTCACTTCAAATATCTCACAAAGTTTGTAGTTTGTAGCAGAAATACTATTATTACAATAATTTAGTTTTTACGTAAGTGTGTTAATATTATAATTTCAATCGTTTAACGGCCTGTATAGAACATGACCACTAATGACGGCGCGTTGTTACGGTCGATGAATCAGAGCATTGTTAATACATATATATGTATACTTATTTTTATATTATA